TGTTGGCTGCTAAGGATTAATTCTATGAAAATTAAAATACTTCTTCTTTCCTTGATTTCTCAATTTTTTTTTTAAATCTAGAATTTAGAAAAACATAACACTTCCTGAAAGATTCTGAGAAGAATTTCTTTAAAACAGGGAATTTAACATTAACAATGTATGCTAACAAAGAGGTTGGGAGATTGGAGCAAAGTTTCCCACTGTGAGGGTGGTAGGACTGGATCCTTAGGCATTGTAGGGACCCTAAATAAAACGGGGGGAAGCATAGGGAGCTCTGGGCAGAGGAATAATAATGGCTTAGCTATTGAGAGTGTAATTCAGGATTCTGTTAGAAGTAAAGAAAGGGCAGAATAGAGGATGAGGTAAGTTGCAATGGCCCCAGTCAGGTGTGGAGGATTACTGAAGTGCTGTCTGCCTGCTGCACAGTCAAACAATCCAGTCCACTGCAGAGTCCTGCTGGAGTCTGTTTTGGGAGGCCGAAGGGCCTGCACTGGAAGTCTGAAGAATCTGTATCAGGAAGGTGAACGCTGCACTGCAAGGCTGGAGACAGACATCCGAAGGCTGTGGTGAAGACTGGAGCGCCTCCAAAGCAGCAGAAGCGACCTCCGTCTTCCTTTCCTTTTCGGTTCATGAAGGCTGCAGCTTAGTGGTTGGGGTCATTCATTCCCAGGGGGGGCTTCATTTTCAGTCTGTTCACCATTCAGTCACAATCAGAAGTATGTATGCTAAACCCAATCGGCTGGGTGTTTCTTAGTCAAATTGACAAAAACAGTTAACTAGTACAGTCAGGGAAGAGTTCTTGTACAAAAAAACTAGTTATGTTACTGTAAAAAATCTAAGTGAAAGATGATGACAGTGAGGTCCTGAAAGGAAGTACTGAAAGCATGAGAAATGTTTGGATTCTGGATATCTTTTGAATATAGAGCCAGTAGGATAGTTGGTAGTTTAGTGTGTGAGAGGAAGAGGAATTGAAGCTAAATTCATTACCATTTACTGACGTAGATAGGGGCTGGAATGCAGAGGGGTGCTGTGGAAAAGGACTTTTGATTACTGATGTGTTAGGCTTGAGATTCTTCTTGTACATCTGTTATGGCTTGTGTCTAAATGTCCACGTCCTACCCCTGAAGTTTCAGGAAGTCATGGGGGGCGGGTTCAGAGGTGGCTGAATCTAGGGTTTGGGATTGATTCACTGACCAATGAGGGATTAAGAGTGTGAGGGCTACACTCACCCTACGGAATGTAGCCTGCATAGAATATAAGGTACAGAAGGAGGTTTGTGAGCCCTCCTCTCGTTGCTTTGCTATTTTCTGCCATGTTATGACCATTGTCCTCTGTGAAGACAACCTGCCTTGGAGACAACAGATTATGGGTTGAAACCTCTACAGACTGCAAGCTAAATAAACCTTCCCTCTTTTAACTTTGGTTATCAGGTTCTTTGTCTCAGCAACAAGAAACTAAGACAATATCTAAGTGGAAATGTCAAGTAGGCATAAAGGAATTGGGGGTTCAGGACAGAAGTCTGGATTAGAGACAGAAAAATAGGATTTAGCAGCATACAGATGACATTGAAGCCCACAATGTTTTTTTTTTTTCCTATAATTTTATTGAGAAACAAATAGCAATGAGACAGTTTCAAACCAAATTGGTAGGACAGTTTCAACAATTAACACTTTGCATACATTCTTCCTAGTGGTTAATTGCTGTACAAGATGCAGACATCCTATCCTATTTACAAACACCATTAGAACAAATCCCTCTATTCATTAAGAGAATGTAACTATATATCTATCCTAACCACTTTATTT